CCCCAAAACCCCAAAACCCCAAAACCCCAAAACCCCATAGAAATTTAAAGTTGTTGAGATTTAAATTTTAAATTATAAAAGTCATTATGTCTCTCTACAGGTAATCAAACTTGCTTATCCTATCCATGGTTGGATAAGGCAAGCAACTTCATACAAAGTCTTAAACCATATTTATAGCTCAAAACGGAAGAAAAAACCCATAGGGGTGAACAACAGCCCTCTGGAAAAATGGAAGCAGAAGTACACTAAAGCAGCAGAGAAAATATATACTCCATCTAAAATGTCTCTTAACTTTGTCAGAGACTCTCTTGAGAAAGGTAAGCGATGGATTTAGGGTTTAGCTAGCTTCCGAGTCAGTTTGGAATCCCTGGCATTAGAAAATATGATGCCTACAAAATTTCGCTGCTTTTTAGTTGATTAGCTCAAGTTAAAACACTGGGATATACTCTGCTTAGACTCTCGAACTTCTGAACTAAGACTAAATTCTCGGCAATTAGCAATCTCATAATTATTATATAGAAAAAGGATTAATGCTCATTGACCCGTTTGGAATGGATAATGAGATGATTCCTGATTATAAGTTTGAGTCCTGGGAGAACCAGCTGAGGAAACCTTTACAAAAATGTACTAACAACTCACATTCCTATGAACGAATCTGTAAGAATTTCAAAACCTTCGACAAGGAGAATACTGATAGAGAAAATCAGAATTCTGTTCCAAAATCCAGAAGGCTCTTGGCTCTTTCACCAAAACCAACAAATTTTCATAATAAAAGCAGGAAGTATTTCTGTGAGAAGCAAGTACAGCCTGCTAAGAGTTTTGAGAGAAAGTATCCTAAGAAAGAGATTACAAACTCCAGGAGACCATATAAGGTAGAACCTTCTATAAAACCTTCCCAGAAAGGAAGCCAGGAAAGACTGAGAGGAAAGAAAAAGCTTACTAAAAACCCTGTGCTTATTTCAAATTCTAATCCAGGGTGGTTGTTTAAGAGCACTAAAGACATGTCAAAGTCCTTCCAAAACCCTTCTGGCGTTACCCTGGAACCATCGAAAACTCACATTATTAGACCTTCTGAGCTTACAGACTTTAATAGCTCAAAGAACAAATTTAAAGTAAGTCTTTAGCTTATAGTCCATAGAAGCCGCCCACAAAGAGGACCTGAAATGCTAATATTTCTCACGAAAGTGATGAAGTGCTCCAAGAAAGGCTTAGCAATGTGTTCATTTCCAGTGACTTGCCTACTAAGGATAGAGAAGTGAAAATCAAGGTTAACAACACTGAATCCTCGTTAACTAGCACATACAGATCATCTATAATTCCTGCTGAGATCCAAATGACTACCCTTATGACAGACTCTGACGAAGAGGAATGCACTTGTTGCAAATAAATGCAAAGCATGCAGCAACTACAGTACTAACAAGTCAGCTATAAATTCACAAAGCTGTCATAAAGAAGAGCAAAAGCATGAAGAATCGTTTAAAATCAATCAGGCCAAGGTAGAAAATAAGGAAAATATTCCAGATTTCCCTGACAAAAAAGACCTTGAAGAGCTATGTGATGAATTTATTCGTAAAAATAAAGAAAACGCAATAAAAAATAATTCTAAAACACTCGCTCAGAACAATATGATAAATATAGAAAATGTTATCCTTCTTGAAGAGAAAATGAGGTTAATTAACGAAAATGTCCTAAAAATGAAAGATCTCACAAGACTGTGTGAAGACTGGTGGGAAATTAGTCATACGGAAACTATGTTACAGAACTTAGGAAATGTGTTCAAAGAACCCAGGTATAAAGCCATTCTAAGAACAGCTACTTGAGTAGAGATTTGAGCAATTTCTCTCATATTTGCAGTAGATCAGCATTATGAAACACCTCCAAAATCAATTTTAATGAGTAAGGAACAGGTCTTATCAAAATAGTTATCAAAAATATTGCTCAATGCACTTATGAAAATTACCTGAACATTATTGGCCTTGTAATCAACAGACTTCCGCCAGATAGTGTAAGGAATATTTGGGTGCAAGCCCTAGAGAAAATACTTTCCCTAGAAAAATCAACCTGAAATAAGCAGGCTTTATTCAACCTCATTCAGAAGAACAACATTGTCCTCACTGAGAGGTGCCGAAAGCTTTGCTTAGGAAAATACTCTGTTAAGCAACTCGCCCTAAAAAGGGGCATTAGTGAAGAAAAGCTCTTAAGAAAGGAGAATTGTGATATAAGCCGATATATCTCTCCTCTGTGTCAGACTTTATTGATAACAGTCGAAGAGATTTTGAATTTGACTCAGAGTCTCGACATTACTAAAAGTAAATTCTCACTAAACCTCTAGCTAGGGAAAATATGATCTCAATATTGGAAGGATTTAGTGAGACGATGAAAATGAAAAATAATAGCCCAATGTGTGTCACTCAAAACATCAGTGAATCATCATTTGAAGAGGATTGATGTGAAGTAATGGAGCCTCCTTATCTCCCTCCAATATCTCTAAATAAAACTTATACTCTAGTCTTGGACCTTGATGAAACGTTGGTTCATTACTTTGAGATAGGCGATCAAGGCAAGTTCTTAGTCAGACCTGGAGTCATCCCATTTTTGAAAGAAATGTCGAAATTTTTTGAAATTGTTATATTCACAGCTGCAGTACAAGATTATGCTGACTGGGCAATTGACCAGATAGATACAGTGGGGTACATCTCTCATAGACTATATCGACAACATACGCTCCCATGAGGATCGGTCAACATTAAGGATCTTTCCCGAATTGGGAGGGATTTAAAATAAAGTGATCATTGTAGATAACATTCCTGAAAACTTCCAACTACAACAAGACAATGGTATATTCATCACAAGCTGGTTTGATGATGTGACCGATACAGCTCTATGTGAGCTCTCAGTGATACTCAAAGATATATTCTTACTAAAAGCAGACGATCTCAGAGATGCCCTACGAAATTATGAGAAGCATTAAAACTAATTTTCAATGATTCAAGTGCAAAAAGGGGTTTTGGGGTTTTGGGGTTTTGGGGTTTTGGGGTTTTGGGG